GACTTTTATTGAGATCATCTTCAGAGCCTGTGCTTTATAAACATAGTTTAAATTATACAAATATATATAAGATATGACTATAAATTTGTATAATGATGTATACAGCATAGAAATTTTAGGTCTAATTAAAGTACTGTACACACTCAAAGTATGTGTTTTCTGTGTGCATGTGTCACTGTTGTGTGTCATGCTGAGAGTGTTTGTTAAGAGATTAATATCTCCTAACACTCTCAACAGACCCACAACAGTGACACATTTACACAGAAAACACACTATAATTGAGTACAAATACTTTATTAATCCTAAAATTTCTGTATTGGGTACATCATTTTATAAATTCATATTCACATCTTACATGTATTTCAATCATTTAAACGTTGTTTCTAAATCCTAGGCCGTGAAGATGATCTCATTAAAGATCGAAACGTTATCACGATAAAGAAAATGTTTTTTTAAACCTATATCACACCAAACCGCATCTCATGATCTCTTAATAATTCCTTAGTAACATTAATTAAATCTGTTACCTTCTGATTCTACACTGATTCGGGCGAATTCATACAGTTTTTTTATTATTTTAACAAATTTGTCACTTACACAATTTCAAAATCTACAAAGATTATAAATAACTTACTCCTCTTTAATGTAAGTTGGAACATTATTATTGCCGAAAAGGTAAAAATCGCATCCAAAAAAACCCTCCTTTTTCCGAAAGCCATTTGTTTCCATTAAATTGTTATCTTCTGCCCATATGTATTGTTGTGATAAAAATTATACATAAATAAACATAGGAGTATAAATATTAATTGATTTTGAAGCAATTAAGTCATATGTATTCCATTGTTTAAGATCGTCATCATGATGCAAGAGATGTTCAAATATGATCAAGATATATATTCTCCCTGCTTTATTTGAACTATGTGCTGTTAGTTTGTATAAAAGATTTTTTTTTCACTTAGTTTTTAAAAGCGAGTTGAGAGTTATCTGCCGTTAGTAATCCGTGAATAACAGCGACATCATTGATTTACAAACAACAAAAAGCAATACCAAACAAACCAAGGTTTCCTTTTTAAGGGATAGTTTTTATAGAAATAATAGTTTTATTGTTCCTATTTTTTTATACTAAGTTAATTTGCCCCGGTACCTCTAATCGAAGTCAAATTTTCGACGCTTTTATTTTATAATCGTGTGATAACCCTTTCGAACAAACGTTGTTTTCTCCATTAATCCCATTGCATTTATCGTTTTTCATATATTTGTAATTTTATCTTTCCATTCGAAATACATTAAAGATCTACTGAGAAATTTTATATGTTGATTAATTTTTATTTTAGTATCGTTTCTCACGCACCAGCTAGATGAATTATTACGCAGTAAGGTACTTCAGTTTTGAAGAAATTAATGCAGAAATACTTTCTTCTCGATATTGAGAAGTTGGTTCTTCACTGAAGTCGCTCTACTCAAGAAACAAATTGGTCGTCAGGGCTGGATATTGTGACAGGTCAAACTATTATTTTTTATCATATATATTATGCAGGGTGGGCGACCAAGACCCGAGGGGTTAAATGCCTGGGTAGGCTCTTACCCCATCCCTAAAAGGTCCGGGACTTGGTCGGCTCACGTGTCCTGCATAAACCTCTTGGACTTGTTCACAAACCCCAAGATTTTGGACCATTTTATCTCGGGGAGTGATTTGGTGATGTCCTCTCCTTCAAATATTTCAAATCTAGACCTAGCATACCTATCACACTCTGTGAGGTAGTGCCTTGCCGTTTCTTTTTTTATTTCGCAGAAGCGGCAAAAGGGATCTGGTAGGATACCCATTACGAAGAGGTGTCTTCTCAGTGGGCAGTGGCCCGTCAGAATACCTATCAGCCTCCTAATTCCCTTCCTTGAGATAGAGAATAGCCATTTCGATTCTGCTGGTTTGATCTCCTTAACAAACTCATTCGATTGCCTGTGTCCGGGGGATAAATTCCACTCCGCATTGTTTCATGCCCCAGTTATTGATACTCTCTTTTACTGTGCTCATATAGTGAGGTAATACCGGTTGTGGGCCGTCAAACGCAGTATTAGAAGCTTCTTTGGCTAGGCCATCCGCCTTTTCATTCATTCATCGCCATGGTGTCTTTTATGTGCTGGTATCCAAATAAGGGTCACCTTATTCTCAAACCTGAAAGAGATCCTATTGATAAGATCTATAGTTTCCTCCACCAGTCGTGAGGTTGACAAATCTTTTTGTAATGCCCTAAGACTAGCCTGACTGTCAGAAAAGATTTTAATATCTTTTCCCTTAATTTTATTTTCCATAAGTGTTCTACAACACACATTGATGGCCCAGATTTCCGCCTGAAAAACGGAGGTGTTATTGCCAAGAGGGGAGGAGATGCTGATTCCTAATTTTGGTATGTAGATTCCTGCACCACTCCCTCTACCTTTGATAAGTGATCCATCTGTGTAGCAGTCTATGTTACGATGGTCATCATCCAGACTATAATCATAATCACAAGGGGTGACTACCTGAAAGTGCTTTTTCCCCGAAGGGGTTTTAATCTTTTTATCACTAACGCTTAATAATTGACCGTTAACCTTACTCAATAGTTGAGAGATTTTCGAGTGACCTATGTTATTGCACTTATGATTCCAGCTGCCCTCGCTAATTAATCTGTAGCAGCTGATTAGTGCTCTGACCTTAACCTCAATGTGAAGTGGTGTGGTATTGGTTATGATTTCAAGTGCTAGGGTGGGTGTAGTTGAAAATGCTCCTGTCATCATCAAACAACCTAGTCTTTGAAATGACCTTAATTTATTACTATTCCCTTTATTTTCTAGACCTTTCCACCACACTAAAGCTGCGAAAAAGAATCTAGGTAGAATAATTGCAGTATATAGCCATTTGGCTACCCATGGTTTGATGCCCCATGTTTTACCGACAATTCTCCTACATTGTACCATTGATATAGTGCCTTTCCTGTATATGTTATTAATATGACCTTTCCAATCAAGTTTCCTGTCAAGTGTCACACCAAGGAATTTGATGGAATCCACTAACTTTAATTCTATGCCCTGAAATTTAGGGTTTTTAAAATTATCTAATGTTCTTCTCCTGCTAAACATTATCAATTCTAGTTTAACAGGATTAATTGATAAACCTTTGTCACAACACTACCTATAAAGCAATCCTATGGCGTTTTCCATCATTAGTGAAAGAGTCAAGGGATCCCTACCTGTGAGCATTATGGTACCATCATCTGAAAATAATTGACTGTAGAAATTTGAATTATTCAGAAGTTCTATTAAGCTGTTTACTGTAATTAGCCATTAAAGAGGTGACAAACAGCCTCCTTGTGGACGGCCTCCTTTTACCTTAATTCTAAAAGTGCTACTACTTAAGCACATATTGACCATCCTCCCCGCCAAGTAGGTCTTCACTCATCTAGTAAGATGGTGGTCGATTATTTTTTATCATGCTTGCATATTGTTTTTTCAACATAAGGCCGGCGCCACACTAGACGGAATTCGACGGAAGTTTTCGCGACGGAAATTTCCGCTGCACAAGCTTACATTCAATACACACAGCCAGCGACAGAATGAACGGAAATTTCTGCCGTAATGTCTCCGTCGAGCTCCGTTGGTGTACCTGCGTCCGTCTGAACAGATTAAAACAGTGGAAAGTAGTTGGGGTGCGCCACACTGACGACGGACAAGCGTAGTACGGAAGAGGTAGGCAGTCGAACACGCAAACTGCAAGTGAAGCTCATCTAGGATGGACTTGGACCAATTTACTGTGGAAGTTCTATAGTCATCCGATAGTATTGGAAGAACGTGACAGGATAGCGTCGAAGTTCCCCATACAGACAGTGTAATTGACCAAGTGCTATCCTTTTGATATTCAATGGATGAATCCAATGTTCTCTCTTTCTCTTCTGCTTCTCCATTGCCTTGTAAAAACACAAAATGAAAAGTTGTTTCATTGTACCGTACATTATCAACTGAGTCACGTTGTATAGTACCCTTGCGGCTAGACAAGCTAGAAGACGAGCTATAAAACCTGGATATTTCATGGTAAGGTTTTGGGACCCCGACTAAGTGGTCAGATCGTAAGAGTTCACGTTAAATTGCCAAAATTAAAAAGAAAGCGGAATGAAACTGTAATTAATGTGAAAACTAAAAATGTTACCATTGATCCAAGAGGTATGAATGTTATCTACAAGAAGTATTAAAATAATGAACTTAAAAGATTATTGCCGCTCTTTACCAAAACAGGGTTTCCGAAGCACGTTCCGGAAACCAACTAATATATTTTAACCTTCCTGGCACCTCTCGACTGTAAGTTTTGTCCCTTCCCTACATGACTTAAGTTCAAACCCGCGAACATAAAATACTGGGCCCTGACATCATCAGCTAATTAACTTAGAATTTTGTCATATCTGTCACTTTCACAAAATTGGAGGAATTTCGAGATTTCTGTTAAGCAAATCGGTTGGATGATAAACTTCCTCTTGAACGTGAAAAGTACACTTCTGGGAAAGTAAAATGCAATAGATGTGTTGCGATATTTTGCCACTTAAGGGGTGGGCGGTCTCAAAACTCGACCCTTAAATATGAAAATGTAAATAAAATTTTGGTGGACGGTATGTTCACCCGCTAAGTAAACGAAATTCGAGAAAGGGTGGAAATCGAGGAAGGTAGATTTTGTTGAAAAATTAACAAGTTACTTTCGTTTTAGATGAGCGGAAAACGTGGAAAATGAAGTGAATGAAATGAAATGAAGTAGTCCTTTGTACTCGACATTTGGAAGTCGGTTCTTCACTGAAGTCGCTCACCTGAATAATCATACATCAATATTTGCGTAAACTGGAAGAACTAACAATTAATTTTTTTGTTACTGCTTGTAGTTTACATTATTTTACCCTAACCATAAAACAAGGCAGGCCAAATTTGGTCTTTTAATTGCATTTTTTTATTTATCAAAATGTGTTTAAATAAATGGTACATACCTATTCGTTGTAGTTCCTTTTACAGATTTTGAAATCGATAAACCAAACCCTAAAACAGAAACACATTTTTTTCGTTTCGATTGAAAGATTCACTAAATCTTTTTTAAACAAAGAAACAATTTAAGTTATTTTAATAAGGATAAGGAAGAAATGGCTTCGTTTTACGAAATGTTCGTAAATGTTCAACTATTGTAAACGCGTACGCGTGTTTATCAAGGATACTGGATACTTAGAAAGAATGAATGGCATGCTACTACAATAATCAGGAAGATGTTTTCGAGAAATTCTACAATGATAATATGTGACAATACGGAGGAACAGACGTATTGAAAAAACCATATTTACAAGATTCGACAAATAACTATTAACCTATCCATCACAACCAACTATGCGTTAATTAGTTAAAAATTAAACTGTTAAATTTATTTGTGTGGTCTGCGGAGTGATGAAACTGTAATTCTCTTCATACTCATTGTGTTGGTCTGCTAGACGCGTTCGGCATTTCGCCATCATCAGTGTTTGGTCTGGGTCAATATTAATTAATGCAAATTTAAAATTACAAAAAAAATTACATGACTACGTCTCAAGAGGGAAAATTCAGCTAAGAAACTTCAATTCCTCTTCTTCTCGATTTTTTTGTATAATTTTGTTTCTTTGTTTTTAACCAAACATTATCTTGTTCGTTAACCCATTTTTTTCAATTACCAATTCCTTGCTCCGAAGAAGATCCTTACAAGTCAGAGATTCCTTCTCCTAAGAAAGAAGCCCAGGCCTGAGAACACACGTCACGAGAAACTTTGGTATCTGATAAAAAGCCTTAACCTTATCGGAGTGCTCTTAATAATAATGGAGATTATAAAGACCAATACTGGCCGAGATGAGTAAGGTCGTATAAAGGTCGAATCCTTTTAACCTTAACTTTAACATTACTTGAAAATTAAGTACATAGAACCAATTATCGCATGGAGTGCAGAACTAAAAAATGAAATCTTAATAATGAAATCTTAATAATACTTTCATTGGTATATGTCAAGTTGTTGCAGCATAAATCTAGTCCGGACGGTCCAAAACACCATAAGTCTCGCAAGTTTTCCAGGATTTAAGAGCTGATCAATGGCGTAATGTCACAGTCCTCTTCGTTGCAATGGTTTTCGTCAGACCATTCACAAAAGTAAAAACCACATATTCGTTCCGCTAGGAGGATCAAAGATGATCCGTAAGTGGAGTATAACTTACCCTTAGCTTTTTTTGTATTGTCGGCTTAGGGGTGGCACGCGATCGTCCTTTAATTTGCCGCCTTTGAATAACTAATTGTAAAGCGAACGATCTTCAACTAGAGGGACGGTCCCGACCGACTAATTACGTCGCACTTTCGCCCACGTTTTATCATCTTCCCCTTTGAAAGGATGGGCGCCCCTTTCCAGGCGCGATTGCACACGGACAAAGCGGCTCGATTGCAACACGGACCAATTTGCTGCAACAGTTTTATCAACACGGACATGGAATGCCTTTGTATTTTGGCGTTCAGTTGATGATTTGGCCTTGAAGAACTTCTATGTTGTGACCTTTAAGGTAAATTGTCCTTATTATTTATGATCAAACGAACAAGCAAATTATTGTCCAACATCAGTTTGGTAGTTATTGTTTTTGTTCTCGTTTTTTTCTAAATGATTCTCACAGAATTGTTGTTTTTAACAATCCGGATTTCAAGCATTAAACGCTTATCATCCAGGTTGGAAGAGTTTACAAACACGTCACTCGATATGAATTGTAAGTCTGAACCCGGCGATCCCCCGCCAACGCGATGTTCCAATGAGAAATTGGTTTATGATGCCGCTCCATTTTGAACGTGCAAAAAAACATGTGAATTGTACATGTTTAAAATTGGGGGTAAATCAAAATTTGTGATATTAGGTATGCATTTATCTCCATGTTTAATTTTACATTTTTTTTATTTTTGAACCTTCCCAAATCAATCTAGTCCCCTCCCTCTGTTGAAACTGTGTAACACAATTGTATTTAAATTTAAATTTAAATTGTGTTTTGATTTATTCATTTATATTATATTATTCTCGTTTAAGAATTTTACTTACTTTTTCTGATATTTCAACAATGTATGGCAAGCGAAAGCCTTTCTTGTCGGCCACGCTTCATTGATTAGTAAACCATGTTATGGAATCCAGGGCTCTCTTCTCAAACGATTTCATTCTTTTCTAAGGCGGGCCCTCGACGGTCAATTATATTGAAAAATATAACGAATTGCGGTATTGCAATTTGCTCAATGATTTAACAAAATGTGTGGTGATTAGTGACCGTTAATGGATAATTATTCAGAAATGGTGAGATGCGGTTTGGTGTGATGTAGGTTTCAAAAAAACATTTTCTTTATCGTGCCAACGTTTTGATCTTTATTGAGATCATCTTCAGGGCTCAAAGTGTTTGTCTTCTGTGTAATTGTGCCATTCTTGCGTGTCGTGTTGAGAGTGCCAGTGAGATTTTTCTAAAAAAACCGTTGATTGGTGATACTCTTTATGAACTCATTCTTGAACTGATTGGACATGAATGTCCCTACACTTGCAGACATTGATCTAATCTTCGTCTACAAATCGTTAAATAAGCTTCACTGTCCTGATCGTCTATATCGTCCAAATTTCTATATTCCTTCTTGTAACAACAGACAGCATCTTACTTTCTCAAAAAAAAAATCACATGGCACCAATCATATTAAATACTCAAGTCTAAAATTGAATTTCTCCATTAAATCCTCCATGACCAGTGGAAAGAGTGAATGCCTTACAGACGGAAATTGTACGATTTGTATCTATTTCAATGCAACACCCAGATTTCTCAAAATTTAAAGGTTATAGGACAACAGGTTAAATGGCAATCCCCATACTTTACCCAACGATCTGAAGCAAGTGGTCTCAACATTTTTAATATCTCAGTTAAAGGAAACTTTGTGCCAACTTAATTTTTTCAAATGGGCCTTACCAAATTTTTTGTTAATATAAAAAATGACTCAAGAACAATATGAGTTGTGTATTACCGGAGATAATTCATAGACTAGGAGGTTAATTCATAATTTCAATGTAGCATTCAAAGAGAAACACCCTGTAAATATATAATTTTTATTATAGAATTATATTATTTCACATTGATTATAATACAATAAATCCTTATTTCGCCATAATGAAAAATGCAAAAGATCTTTTTTTTAATCAGTCGAATAATTTAAAAAAAATTAGTACGTAATTATAAAAGTAATTTGTTATTCTTCCATTACTTTCCATAAATATAAATACAAATATAAATATAAATGTCCGGATAGCAAGAGTTGTAAAATTAACAACGTATTTTTATAAAACAAGTAAAAGTTGTTGTAACTGAGTAAGTTCTAAATAAAAAAGGGTGGATCGAGATGAGTTCAAAAGAGAAGAACAACGTTTTAGTTTTTCTTTAGTGCCATGCTTTCGGAAGATATTCTTTCATCATCAGGGCTCAGAAATGATTAATCAAATAGTCATTACAATTAGTACTTAATCATTTATAAAAACATCAAACAACCTTCTTTTTTTATTTTAAACGTTTATTTAAAGAAACGAAATAACTATTTGTAACTATTACAAATAAACAATACCTGTATGTACAGTGTAATAATTAATCACGGTAAGGTAAAGGTACCTGGTTCGAATCCAGCAGCCCTGTATTTGGGCTTTTTTGACAAACCCTGAGGGTTCTTACAATTTCGTAGTTGAAATACCCCCGTGGGAAAAAAATGAGGCAAAGATTAAGAGCCATGAAGGCTGAACAAAAAAAAACTGATTTTAACTTAGGAATTTTATGTAAATCATCAAGCACGTACAAATCGTTAGAGTTAAGATTATAAAATATTTTCAATTGGCTAAAACTCCTCGCCTGCAGATATAATTGAAGCGTCATCCTTGGTGGGGAAAAGCCTACCATTTTTCAAAGCACGGGTGGGAATTGTCATAAGGGGGGTGAGAATTCACTCGCTCCCACCCTGGAACACCGCAACAATCCACCGCTCAAGGCGCCACACTCCAGACGCCAGACCAATACTGGACACTGGACATTGAAGAATGTAATTTAAAAAAAAAGGTTCTGGATGTTGACTTGTTCAACGTAATTCTGTTTTGTTCGTTTAATATTCCCTATGAATCGGAACAACCTTTTTAGGATAAATAGTGTTACTGCGGACGTACAAGGAGGGTATGTTAAAGGGTTAAAAGTTTGACTTACGACAGACGGTTTGACGTTTTAATATGTTTATAACCGGGGGACCGCGGTAGCCGAGTGGTTAGCATGAGACTCTCACGCCGCGGTCGTGGGTTCGATTCCCACCGTCGCCTCTGGCCCTTTTTTCCCGATAACCCCCAATTTGAACACACAAGAATTCGTACTATGGCTAATATGCAAGATCATAAGGCCAATATTAAAAAAAAAAAAAAAAACCTCTAGTTTGACCCTTTCCGATCATTTTGGTCTGACTATCCTCCCAGTTTCGACTCCCCACCGCCCTCCATGCATAACCATTTTTTCTACATAACTCTTAAATTTTTTAATTCATTATTCACGGCAGCGAGTATTTCCGTCCATTGTTCCAGTATGTTTTGTGTTTACTTTTTTGTATATTGAAAGAAAGAAGTATGTAGATAGAAAGAATGTATTTAAGAGTGAGTTTAGATTTTAAAAAAGCCCCTGAAACCTGACACCCTAACGATTCTGTACTAAGGACGCAGAGTTGAACTTTTATTAATCAGTATAAGCTATTATTTTGTTAAAATATTCCACACATTCCCTGAATATGGCAAGAAGTCGAAACGATTGTCTGAAAAAAGATCTGGAATTGTTTCAACAAATAACCAAAGAGAAATGTACATCTTCAAAACTAAATTTTTAAACATTTTCTAACAAATGAAAACGTTTCTAACAAAAAAAATGTTTTAAATATTAAGTTTAAGATATAAGAAAAATTCGTCGACTTAAATTTACGAAATTCTAATCTTTACAATTTTTTAATTTATTCTATAAGTAAAATCATATTTTTATTGCTAGTTTAAAGGTGATATTTTCAACTATACCTTTGACGAATTTACCTAATTGCTTTTCACGTCCCTACTTAAAAGAAATTTCAACAATATTAAAAAATTTTTTTTTAAAAACAGTGCAGCATATCTTAGTTACAGTCATAAGACCATATAGTAAGAGCGATTTGAACACAAATCACACAAAATCTCATCATTTTCCGCTTTCAAATATAAAATAGTAAACGAAAAACCTAAAATCCAATCAATTTGTTCTGTTGAATCTGTAATAAAAAGATTTTATTTAAATATATATACAGGACGGTTCTCTATGATATGGAAAAAAGGAATTGTAAGATAGTAGTAAAATGGGTTTTCTACTCACTTTGTCGAAAAACAAATTTTAAATTTTGAAAAATCGGACTTTTCCCACACGAAAATTTCTCCATTACCTATGCATTTTTCATCGAAATTATCGTGTTTTGGGGTGTTTTTTTTTAAATCTATGTGAAGTTGTCTAAAGAATGAATGAGTCATTTACTGAACACTTTCAGTCCGACTAAGACGTTTCACTGGCACAAACCTCTCAAAATGAAATATCGGAAGATCTTAGAACAAATTTCAAAAATTCACTACGCTGTGGCAAACCTTCTTAGAGATTAGCGAATTTCACAAAAAAAGTGTATCATCGGAAAATAGCACAGATGGCACAAAAGCTAGATTAAAATTAAAACAGTTAAAAAATAAATTAATTAAACAAATAATACGAAAATCACCCAATGTATAATTCTAACAACGTGTGCCACATAAAGTTTTCCCACGTCTACAATTGTATTTTAATTTTTAAAACCATTTGAGCAGTGTAAAAACCAACGTGACTTCGTATGAAAGATATTCGAACGGCAAAAATTGCAATTGTTATTTTGCAAAAAAAAAAAGGAAATCTATTGGGTTGGTGCAAAATAAATGGAGGTTTGGAAAATTTGCTTATTTTCGCAGATGCTTGTCATGTACACAAAGCTAATCTTAAATCTAATTTATGGTTATCGTTTATACAAAACATTTTACTTCATATTGAATTTTATAAGAGTGGGGTCCTGCAAAATTAAATATGTCCAAACTAGATTTTCGTCAAATTTATTTTTACGAATTAAAAACTTGGGCGAAGTGCGGCTCAAACCGCGCGTAACATCAATACAGTTGGAGGGAGGCATTAGCGAATGCACGGTAGAGCGATTTTTCAGAAACTTCCATCTGGAGGCAGGGAAGTTCGCGATAGGCCTTCCGTTGTGGACATCGACAACCCAAAATGTTGTTTGAAGGAAATGCACGAAGAAAACACGGGAATTTGCGGAAGAGCTTAGTGTTGACCAATCAACCGCTGATCGCCATCTGGAGCATTGGTAAAGTAAAGAAGCTCGACAAGTGGGTACCTTACGAACTAACCTATGCCCAAAGTAATCGACAATTTGAAATTTGCACGTCGAGAGGACATGCAAGATGAAAAATGAATTCTATGCAATAACAGGAGGCGTATAAAACCGCACATTTCTGCTGTACCTCCTCAGGGCAATGCGATAACCCCAAACTTAGCAAAGAATGAGCTTCCATTTTTTAAACTTAATTTAAAATTTTCTTTTCTTTTTTTAAGAGAAAAGAATTTTTTCCATCCGTCTATAATTAATGTATACCAGTGCGGGTACAACGTATTCCATAACAAGATCTTTCAATATCATGAAAATATTATGATTCACACAATATCACCAAAATTCGATAATTAACATAACGTCAAACTACATTTCTGCCCAATCTTCACCAAAATTCAAAACGAGCTTTTACATTAATTTAAAAAAAATAGTTTTTTCCTTATTTATCATATCGGCTATGCATAAAAAAACCGCTGAACTACGAATACAATATTTGGGCTAAGATTTTTTTTTAATGTATTGTTTGGGAGACTTAATGGAAATTTCACACGAGTTAGCGAATATTCTTCATTGTATATTCCATAAGCATATCTTCCACAATTTTAAACACCGAGGGAGGGATCTTTGAACATTCTTCAAAAAAGAATTTACATCCTAGAATATTCTATATTATGATTTTGTCGTTTGTCTCAAACTGAATCGTTCGAAACTATATTTTTTCTCCTCATCCTTCCCTCTTGGATGGAAATAATTACAGTGGAGAAAAGAACTCTTTGATTCTTGGAAATATTTCATTCTCACAACATTATCAAAACATGATGCACTACATTTCTGTCCAATCTTCACCAAAAATCAATACGAGCCTTTATATTGTTTTATTATAACCAAGAAAACAAAATGTATACTTTGGGATAGATTTTTTGTTAAATATAATTTTTGGGAAACTCAATGGAAAATTTCGAATAGATAGAGAATTCCATAAATATGTCTTGCACGATTTTAAACACCGAGGGATGGATCTTTGAACATTCTTCAAAAAAAAAATTACATCTTAGAATATTCGATGTACTTATATTGTCTCAAACTGAATCGTTGGCAAATATATTTTCCTTAGTATTTAAGGCGTGAGAATGAGAAAGGAAAGAAAGATCGCGCATGCTATGAAAAGGCTCTTGGAGGGAAACAATTACAATTGGAGAAAAGAATTGGGTGATCATGGAAATGTTTCATGATTCACAAACCAGTACCAATATCACCAAAATTCGGTATTTTGCATAAGATCAAACTGAATTTCTCCCAAATCTTCACCAAAAATCAAAACGAGCCTTTATATTATTTTTGTAAAATCAGTTCAACTACGAATACAATACTTTGGGCTAAGATTTGTTTTTTAATATAATGCTTGGAAGACCTAATGGAAATTTCAAACGAGAAAGAGAATTTTCTTCATTTTGTATTCCATAAAAATGTCTTCAATTTTCTTCATAAAAGAATTTACATCCTAGAATATTCTATATTTGATTTTGTCTCAAACCGAATCGTTCGCAAATATCTTCCCCCTCGGTATTTAAGAAGTTGGGAATCCTTTGGAAAAAGGCCAAAGTGAAATTTTTATTTAAAAAAAATAAATAAATAAATAAAAGAAGAAACACAAGTGATATGGAAAGGATCTCTACTTGTGCGTTGTTGAAGCTTCGCGGGGCAACAGAAAAACTTTCCCGTCCTGCTTCTCAATTTGAAAAAAGGGGCAAAAGGCCCGAAAATTGATTTTCTTTTTTTACGTTTTTTTTACAAGGAGAAAAATCAGCCGGTTTCCGGTCCGGGAACTGGCTGGTGAAAAAGTGCGTTATATAAGGACCCGGCTTTAAACCGGGACCGGCTTTTAATAAGTATCAGAAAAGGGAGGGACATGTAGGGATAATGTTTGTATAATGAGAGAGTTGTGCGGCTGAGATGAAAGAAGACGTTCGAGATGGCTCCGATAGGCCATCCTGTCACTCACGACTCTCTTATTGTATTAATTATATCTCCCTGCCGCGGGAAGACTTCCGATCAGCAACTCGACAAACCGGTGCGGCAAATTAATAAAAAAAGGAAAATTTTTGTTTATTATTTTTTTTGGGGGGGGGATAAAACTGAACCTAATAATTTATTTCGGAGAAAATTTTAAATCAAAAGGAGGAAAAGCTTGCAATTAAAATTCTTTTAGCAAGATGAAAAGCATTTTTTTCATGTCGGCGGAGGAAGGTTATGGATTTAGCCGTTATGATCTCTAATGGTGTGTTTTGCCGTGAAAAGGACCCGGAGCTTTAATGAGCGTCAACGTTTGACTCTACACTAATCAGACCTCTACCACTTCAATTACAACTAACAACCTCTGTCCCGATAAAAAAAAAAAAATGCAGGAAAGACGGCGAAGTGCTTCGCCAACTTTATTTCCATTCTAATTAATGGCGTTTTGAATCTGGGATAATGGACAAACCCTTTTTCTGATTAAATATGGGATAATTTAAAAACCGATTAAAAAACACTCATGATTCAAAATTTGCCATGGAAAAGGACGATTAAGAGAAAAGGAAATGTTCACATTCCTCTCAAAATAAATCTACATAAATATTGCAAATAGTTAAAAGTTTAAAATGCAAAGGGTGTGAATTTTTTCTCTCAATTTCCCATAGGGGTAAAGGGAGAAAAATTCACCTCGGCTTTCCCACCCTGGGATCGACCGGCCTTGAACGGGAAGACGCCGTAAATTGAAAAAGCCCTCCGGCTTGTACTTACGCGTTCGATTTGTCGTCAAGTTGTGCCACGGCTAAGTCCAAACACTTTTAAGTCCTTCCCAACTCGGGCAGCTCCGAAAGCTGACTGGAATCCTCATGAAGGGTGCTGGGAGGGGCGATGGGCGGAGCACTGATCCCCACCCCCAAACAACCCTAACCTTACATATTTACCTTACTCAAATTGATCTGTTTCAACGAATACACATTATCGGGGTTGGAACATCTTTTCCGGAAATAAACTCCGTCTCGATTGAAATTATTAAACTAACTTTTATCTGGCGACTAATTGATTTGTTTTGCTGACATCAGAGGAACGAATGCAACGGCTCTTACCAAATACATATGCATATAATGATGATTATATATAAATCATCAACAAATTCATAAAAATGTAATGGTGCATCAATCCCATCGTCCTTCCCATGTGTGACATGAATCAATGTATTTACGATTGGTGAATTTGTAATTTGGATTTTACCGATCATTTCGGTCCAACTTCTCGCCATATTCAGTGTAATGTCTGTGTGAAATACCGAACGAGTATGACAAACTGACCCAATGATGATGACAGGACAAGACCCTGCAAAGGATATCTCACAAGTTGTGTGAATGTCCATGCATTTTATGATATATTTATTATAATAATTTTATANTAGTTTTACTTCAATAATAAATAATAATTAATAGGTAATAATTAATGTCTTTGCATTTTACATACAAAGGTTTTTTTGAGGTGATTCGCGTAGTTTCATTTTCTTTCTGTATTTCATACTTGGTAGTTTCGTGTCGTTTTGACCTGCCTAACCACTCTATTTTAGGTGTATCCGACATGTTTCGAATTCTCGCCATCTTCAGTGGTGGGTTTTGTTGTCACACAAACGCCACCATTACTAAAGCGATATCGACAAAAATGATCAGAAACGCCCAAACTACAGGTTGATCATCACTCAAGACTTCGAGAGGATTCTCACAAGTCGTACGAATCTACTTGCATTTTGTAAACGTAATAATAAATAATACTTAATAATGAATTAAGTTATAATTATTTGTGATGTGAGATTTTTCATGTCGGCGGGGTCCTGTATTTTGGTCATTACCGATCATTTTTTTGATTTTCCTGATTCGCTGGGTCAGAACGTCAGACGTTTTGCAATATATCGCCATCTTCAGTGTTGGATCCGCACATGTAGTAATTCCTGCTTCATATTAATGCCTCCGAATATATCTTTATTTAAAATAAGATTTGGGGGTGGAAGGTTCGTTTAATTATTTGTTTGCCACTATGTGATTGTAAAACCCTGACTGCACACAAGTATCTAGACTTCTTAGACTGGCCTATCTTAAAATAGTATTTTCTAATTATTTTCTATATTATATTTTAGCCAAATAATGTGTTTTACATTCAATTTAATCATCTAATATGTGTTGTTCATGAGCTTCAACCTATGAAGCAAGTTAATTGCTAAACAGATTTTAACCTAGGAAATACATTTTAAAATTGTTTTTAATAAAAAGAAATCAGTCTGAGGAACATGGGTAACACGATAATTTAACATCGTTTAACAGTTTTTACAATAGAAAGGAGGTAATAATGTTTAGCATACAGAAAAGACTTTGCATTAACATCATACACACTACCAAGCCTGAAATACAGGAAAAAAATTAAAGAAAATACGCGAATTACCTACAAAAAAACCTTTGTATGGAAAATGCAAGGACATTCGTACTACTTGTGAGACATCCTTTTTATGTACTTTGTGATCAAATTGCAGTTTGGTTGTTTCCGGTTTTTGGCCTACCTTAGCTAAATGTCAGACTCGTTTTAGTAGTTGTAGTGATAATGAGGTAAGAAAAAACCCACAGCCAAAGATGGCGAGAAGCCGCTATGCATCAGATAGCCTACCGTCGCTGTTTTGGTCATCAGACCCATTCACTTTTCTCACCGTCTTCGGAGGTGGGTGTTTTTGAGAATGAAGATATTGAAATTTAATAAAAATTTGAAGAAAAAACGCACTATGTTTCAAAAATGATAAAAAACTTTTTAAAATTTTTCGTGACGTTATAAACTGTTAAATTTAGAAATATTAGAAGTATAAATAAATATAACAATTAAATAAAATAACAAATATATAAACTATACATAGCAACGGACCTCTATCGGTAGAACGAAAATATTCGCTGTTAAGCAGGGAGCACGACAAGAATGTCTACTTTGTACTCTCCTATTTACATTATTTATAAAAGACTTAAAACAAAGATCGCCTAAAATCGTCCGACAGTAGAGAAATGTTGCACGATGTGACCCACCTAATTAAAGAATGTTGTTCCTTGGTTCTATATAGAGAGCTTGTATGAATGCAACCCGATAAGATTTGTGCTTGAGCACGTCCCCTGTTCTGACTTTCAAAGGAAAAGGTCTTTTTTGCTGTTTATAATACTTTATAAGTTATCTCGTATTGTATTTCTTTGCAACTAAATTTATTTATTATCATAAAAGTGTAGTGTGGCAGGGCCTGTAGTGGAATATTGTGTACCATATCAACTCTCAATTAGATTAATCATACAGTATGTGTAAAAGGTGATGGAATATCACGTACTCCTAACCAAGTAAATGGTCGTAAATAAATAAGAAATAAATAAAGAAGAATGTATTTAAGAGGCTATTGATAGCACCTGGAGCTCAACCTCGCTAGCTGGATGGATGAGGCAGAAGTCTGACCTCGGGCTGCCAACACGCTGGGTGGATGATTCTCGGTGCTTGTCGTTGTTATGATGATCAAAGTCTCTTTTTCCTGAGAAACTTAAAATTTTATATCGACCCTGACAAGGAACTGTTTCTCTGCGTTGACTAAACTGTAATATTAATTACATACAAAAAATGAAAAACTCGAATAGTAAAATGTTGGATAGTCCAATAAAACGTCGCCCTGCTTCTTATATTTTAAAACTATTCTCGTATCAATCGTTTTATTACAGCTTAAAACGCTCGTAACTAAGAAAATAGATTGATTAAAATCAAGGTAAAGTCTGAAGTTCAGACAAATCGAATTAATGCGTGACGGTTTGAATCATTAAGATAAGCCGAATTCAATTTGTTTGCACTGACTCCACAAGCAAGCGGAGGTGTATTGTTTTGTTCTTCTTCCGAGATAATTCAATTAGCACTTTCTTTGTGTACGTTTTCTTTTATTTAAGTTAGAATTCTATTGTGCCAGTGAAAGAAAAGGTGGCTACGCAGTACTTTTCACAATGATGTGTGGAGTGTTTTGGTACTTTTTGGATGAAGTTTTCGGCTTGGAACTTAACATACAATCGCGTAAGTCGAGTATAGTGGGAAAAGTGGTAAACCCCAAAGGTATGTGTGCAGTTTTTCGAAAAATAAATAAAACGATAAAAATAGTATTTTTGGTGTACCAACAACTCGAAAATAACTTACCGTTTACAATTTGTTTTTAGATTTTATTTGTAGCCTGTACATATTACAAATGTGTTCACAGCACGTTTCAGCACCAACACTAATGTCAGCGCTACACCCGGAGGAACATTCCATAAGAAGCCAACCAAAGCTGGCAGGTGGTCTTGATCAATGTACATACTTTAGGTGGCTATCGTTGATTAAGGCTACTAGCGGGTTCTCGGGATAGAAATGTGTAGAGAGGGCTCAAGCAGTAGGGTTAGGGTGGATCGAGAGGTTAGTGTGAAACTTTTGGAATCGAGAACGGATCATTTCATTGACAAAAGGAATGCTAAGGTCGTTGTGGATAGTAAGGTAATAATAGTGACGTGATAAGGTGCTGTGGGGGGGGGGCAACGGTTTAGGCGTTGACGCGTCGCTCATCAGTGTAAGGTGAAGGTCCCGAGTTCGAATCCAGCGGCCCTGCATTCGAAGCCGTCATACTTACAAATGGGCTGTTTTTTTAAACACCGGCTGAGGGTTCATATAACCTCGTTAGTTGAAATACCCTCGTAAAAAAAGCAGTTATGGTATAGTGAAAGAAGTCATACACAAGTGGGTTAGCTCATATCTCCAGGAAAATCCTCAGGGGATATTAGAATAGGGAATGGTTTGTTCAGTTCCCATGCAAAACGATGGGCGTGCCTCAAGGGAGCGTACTAAATCTTTCTTTGTTTCTGCTATGTTAACGACCTGCCTTCCTAACTTAAAGGGTCGCTTCATGCCGATGACAACAATTTCGTGTTTCGGGCTCATTCATTTGACAGAATAAGCCCGAATTGGTTTGGTATTAATTAACAGGCTTCAAGGCTGAATGAGGTTTGATTGGGAGCTTTGTGGGTTTTGATATGGAAATGTTGCTTTCAAGGTCAATTGTGCATATCAGCATCAGTGGTCGTAGTGAAAAGTGGGTTAAGTCAAAAATTGTGAAAATCGAGTTATGTACGGATAGCCAAGCGGTTATTAAAGCATTAGCATGTAAAAAATCACAGGATGGATCCAAAATAGACAAAGGGAGAAATGGATCAACTGGAGGGGTACTAATTGTGTACATCCGGAATCTCCAAAATTTGGGAAATCACAACATCATTATATCTTTGGTACCAGGACACACTGGAAAATCTTAAAAGACGTTACACTGACAAAAAATCCTCATAAGATTAGATAGCCAAGCAGCTGTTAAAGCATTAGCATGTAAAAGAATCACATTAAAATTAGTCAGTGAATGCATACAAAATCTCCAAAATCTGGGGAAACACAACAACCTGATGATATCTTGGGTGCCAGGGCACAGGGGAATTTTGGGTAACGAAAAAGAAGACACTCTGGCCAGAGGAGGCTCTGCAAGACGATATATATGCCCTGAACCTAATTTTGGGATAACAAAAACAAACATAGAATCCTCCATCACAGAATGAATCTTAAAAAGATAAAACGAGAAGTGGATAAACTCTAGAGGTGATAGACACAGTAAGGTTATGTTAAAAAACCCTCACCAAGACTGGCAAACACGATGCTTCAGTTAGAGAGGAGGACTAAACACATTGTCAAAGGAATGATAGTACTATTTATTACTTATTACCATGATGACTCCCCCTCTCTTTGAATGTTATGCA